CCACACAGTCAGCAGACTCTTCACCCTTTCCAGACCAACCCACACCACCACCTGGCACTCAGTGTCTGACAGTGACGCTGGGCTGGCTGACTGCTCAGTGGGGTGGCAAGCAGTAGGTACGTGGGTGGACGGATGAACTGGTGGGCCATCTCCCAGACTGCGGTGCCTAGTAGGTATCTTGAGACACTGAGGCGAGGAGAGGGACAGAGGCGCGGGAGACACAGTGAAGTGGCGGAAGGAGCAGGGCAGGCAGTGAGGCCCGGGAGGGCAGGTGCTGTCACACAGCGCAGGAGGACAGAGGCTGTGCCAGTGCTCCAGCCCCACATCCCTCCTGCCTGTGGAGGAAGAGGAAGGAGGAAGCTACGCCTCACCTCTCCTCTTAACCTCCAGACTCCAGTGAAAACTACACTCCCTTGACTGTCTCCACTACTCCTGGCCACCCTTCATCCCCTACGGCACCCGTCCCCCTCCCCCAGCGCCTTTACCTGGTGCTCATGGCCTTCAGAGCAGGCGGCAGAGTGGTACTGCCTTTAGGACAGCTCCTCTCCTGGGTGCAGCCCCCTTGTGCTGAGTAAAAAATGGTCCCACTGCACGTGCACACCCAAGGAAAGCTCAAGTGCATCCTCAGCCAGCAGTGTGTTCTCTCTGGCTTCTCAGAAGGCGCAGGAGCTGTCCTGGGGCCGTCTTGAGATTGTACTTATTCCTCAGATGCGTTAAGATTTTTCCCTCTTGGTCTGAGCAGTAGGAGGGCTGTTCGGCATCCCCTGATACCTCATGGAAGGCTGGCCGCCTTATGTTGTTTTGGATGCTGGTTTAGAAGATGGGGTGAAGACAGCTGAGAACTGACCACAGGCCGCCTACCTCTGGCAGAGCTTCCATCTCCACCGGGGGCACTCCTGGGTAGATGCTGGGCTGTGGTGGTCTCAGCAGTCAAGGAGCAGCATGGGGTGCCCACCACTGGTCTGAGCCTGCACAAGAGGCCAAGGTGCAGCTTCCTTGTTTCTAGACCAAGAAGGCCCCAGACGTCAGAACTGTCTGGGAGGCCCCGGTCTGTTGTATTTGCTTCTCCTTACTACCTTCCTGGGCTGGGACTGCAGGCATAAGAACGAAGGGCCTACTAAGGATCAATTACCACTTCAAAGTCCTTGATTAATCATTTAAAATGTCTGAGTTGAGCAAGTCAAGGTTTCAGATTCCAGGATGGGGCTGACTGAGAACTGGAGCCTTTGGCTAAGACAGTCTCCACTTACATTCCTACCCGGGTCCCTGTGTGGCCTGGAGCCCTGCTTGCCCACTGCCTGTCCAGAACCATGGTTCTGAGTAGCCCCTGTGAACACCCACCCCCTGGGTGTACACTGTAGCCCTAGAATTTGGGACTGCTGGTTGGTGTGGCTGGTGGTCCTGGAGAAGACCCCAGGGCTTGGTGAGCAGGCAGCTGGGCCCAGGGGGCTGCATGCCTCCAAGCATCTTGCATCTGTCTTCTCTGCTTCCAGCTGAGGCAAAACAGTGGATAAGGATCCTCTGCCAGAGTCTGCTCAGCTCCCCTGGGCCTTTCTGACCTAGGCTGGGCCTCCAAGTCACACGCATGCCCGCACACCCTTCCCTCTACATCCCCCAACCCCTACACCACCACTACTCACGCTGTCTTTTGCACCTGCTTTCATGTGGCAACTCTGCCCCTCTGCAGGCCCCACCCCTGGAATGGGGCCAAGGACACTGAAGGTTGATACCAAAGGGCTGTGTTGGGGCAAGGCAGACAAGCTGGTGAAAGAACCCCTGGATCTGCTCTCCAACTCAGCCATAGTCTTCTGGAAATTGAGAGTCTGTTCAATCCCTTCCCTGGGACAAGGGCACAGGCTGAATAAGGTGGCCTTGACTCCTGGGACACTACACAGCAAATGGGACGGTGAGCCTTTTGGCTGGTGTGTGTGTGTGAGCCCATCTGTAAAGGCCTGCCTGCATCAGCAGGAGCTGGCGCCCAGGCTGGCCACAAGGGGGCACTGGACCCCTAAGTAGGAGCTCTGTATGAGCAGCCCCTGCAGACACCAGACCCTCTTCTGCCCCTCGCTGGGCACTGACTGCTCCCACTGCACTTTTGATCCCTCTCCGTTGTTCCTTCCTTTAAAAGATTTACAGATGAGTCAGAAATAGTACAGCTGCTGTATGCTTTTGATCCAGCCTCCCTTAATGTTTAACATCTTACATAACCATGGTCCTGCCACCCCCACCCCCATGCTCAGCTTGCCAGTACAGGCCAGTTGCCAATAAGGCTCATGTGGCCTGGCTGTGGAAACACCTGCGTTAGAATCCTCTGCGCCCCAGCTCCTGCTGGGTAACCAGTACGGCCCACGAAGCTGTGGTGTATGTACAGTGCCCTGACTTAAGGTACCCAGGGAGGCTGTCCCGGTTGCAGCACGGCTGCATCCTGACTGCTGAGCTAGGGCAGTATGGGAGCTCTCGGGGGGAAGGGGGTTCACCACTGCGGGGCAGGGATGGGGACAGCTGGTAGAGGAGCAGAAGCCCCAAGGTGGGGCGGGGCCCTGGGCCGACAGCCCCGCAGCGCAGTTCAGCAGACCCCCTGATGATGCAGCGCCTCCCACCGCGCAGGAAGGCAGGGCACCCAGAAGATTCGGATATAAAATACGCAGTTTCTGGACCCACAGTGGGTGCTGTAAGGTCTTCCTCAGAGCTTTCTTCTGCCCGTCATCCTGCTTTGGTGATGGGGAGAAAAGCAAGGCAAACACTTCACTCCTACCTCCAGACCTACTTGACCACACAGACTCGTCCACCCTCCCCATCTTCTCTACAGTCTGGGGGGGATAGGTTCTGTCCTCAGCTAATGCAAAGGAAAAAGTCATAATAAGGGCTTTGGAAGACTTGGTGCTCCAGGAAATAACTGGGTTTCTAAGGTAGGTACAGCACTAACTACCCCCATCAAGGCTGATGCAGCCGTCGGGCTTGAAGTTCTTTTTTTTTTTTAGCCAGACTATTTCTAACCTCTGTAACCACTGTCTGGGGGTGATCAGCTCAGTCTCCACTGCACCAGGCTGTGGAGGACGTCATGTGAAATAAGCCCTGGCTAGGACAAATGTGGACTAGAGGAGGAAGGTGACAGAGGAAGCGAGACGGAGACATCTTTGTTTTCCTGATGAAGCTACCTGTGGGGCAGTGGTTCTGACAGGAGGAAGGGCTGGCAGTGGGGAAGCCGGGAGCAGACAGGTGTCCCTGGGGCTGTGAAGGCCCTCAGCACGGAACTGGGGCATGGAGTGAGCACCTCCATAAGGGCAGCTTGAGAGAGACTGCAGGGCCCAGCACACAGGAGCCCAGCCCTGGGTCCAACAGGCTGCTTCTGCAGGGGAGGGAGCCTTTCTGTCCTAGGGGCAGCAGAGCCAGTCCACCGACAAGGAGAATGCAACAAGAGATTAGGTAAGGGAATCCACAGCCAACTGTGTCCTGGGTTTCCTGGTCCAGTGCTACCCATGCAGGATCAGGGGAGGCTGGGAACCTGGGTCGGTCATCTGGGCAGAAATGGCAGGTGGCACCCCGCCTGAGGCTTTCCTGCTCTGGTGACCCGAGTTGGGTGGGTGCTGGCTGATGAGAGAGAACTGTCCTGGAGCCCATTCACTACTGTGCTCCTCCTGGTCCCTTTGCTGTCTTAGTTGGGGCCTGGACTCACATTCCTGCTCTGGCTGTTGCTGTGCTTGAACAAGACACCTGACCTCTCTGAGCCTTGAGTTCCTTACCTGTGAAATGGGAACATCCACCGCATAGTTACTGTTAGGACTAAATCAGGTCATGTGCCTTATCAGGCTGTCTTCTTCTTGACTAGGCTCCCCTGGTGGTGGGTCTTGTCTCCCAGACCCTGAACAGCTTTTCCTGTGTCGCTGAGTGGGGCCAGATGAGATTAGACCTGTACCGTGAGAGGAGGGAAAGGGCTATCTCTGTGGAGGGCAGCTGATACAACAGAACTTGGACAAGCTCACACTACCCAGCGTGTTCTAGCTACTATACCAGGCTCCAGAGAGAGGAGCTGCCAAGTGAGGAGGTATAAAAACATACACAAAAATAGAACTGAAAGACGATTGCCCAAGGATTGGTTTAACTTAGAAGATTCATGTATTCATGAACTTGCAAAAAAACTTAAGATCCTTACTGCTTACAACCGAGTTTGATGATGGTGGCTGTTTTGAGATTTTCTTAAAAGTGTCTGCAGATCCTCTGAGGCCACGGTCAACCATCAGATATTCTAACAGGAAGTGAGGTTGATGTCAGCCACAAGTCAGTTGATGAGTAAAGGGCAGCTGGGGGTCTTTCTTGATCTGGGGATTGTTTAGCACTGATATCTCTTAATAGAGCACTTAGCCCTGACAGGGCTTAAAGTTCCTACCCCATTCAGAGGAAACACAAGAGTACCAAGCTCTGGCTATACCCTCCCACTTGCCCAGGTTTTCATCCTGCCTTCCATTGCTTTGTGCAAAAGTTTAGAGGCTGGAGCACATTCTGCATTGGTCAGGTATGAAAAAAACAAGATTCCTGATTAATCTTTTAAAGCCTAAAGCCCCTTTATAGTTATCCTCTTGCTCTTGGGAGATGGCTTAGGTATATCTGAGGAAGCCGCCGCGGCCCCCGCCCCCCCNCCCCCCGCCCCCAGTTCCCCTGTAAGATTCAGAACAGAGTGCTCCCTGGTTTATAAACCCAGTAGGGTTAGCCAGTTCGGGCCAGAGCATTCCTGGCCATTCCTTTCTTAACTCAGGCTGGCCTGGTGTGAGGCCACTGTGGAGGTTCCCCTGTGCAGGCCTCCTGCAGGGATGACTGTCCTTAGCACGACAGGGACAGTCCTAAGCTGCCATTCCTGCATTCATCACGAGGTCTGCTCAGTGGCTCTGGCTGCTGTCCGGAGCTCTCCCTGGTCTGGGAGGTGCTGGCCCTGTAGGGCCTGGGGTTTCCTGTTAAGTTACTGTTAGAGTTCATCCTCACCCTCTGTCCCCTTCCCCCTCCAGTATACGTGGTGGAAGACCAAAGAAGGGATGACCTGGGCACATCCACCTGCCTCACAGCCTGCTGGACAGCCCTCTGTTGCTGCTGTCTCTGGGACATGCTCACCTGACCAGCCCGGCTCTCCTGTCCTGCCAGCTCTGCCACCACTGCGCACGAGTGTGCCTGCCCCGCCTCTTCTGATTGCTGAAATCAATGACTAGCTCTGCACAGACATTTCTACCTTCAACCCAGTGGGATTCTAGATTAGCAGGGGTTGCTGCTGTTTATTTCAATGACTTGATCTTTTTAATGTTCAAATCCATTCTTATTGGCCTTTCACAAATGTGCTAAATGACTTTCCTCTTTATTTTTTTGGCCAAAGGCTTAGTTATAAAATATATAATTTTAAAATTATATTCAAGTTTGATGTAATATACCACTGAATGATTTCTCTGCTCACATCCTGTATGTTTCAATAAATTTGTCTAAGTCTCAACTGTCTCAGTTATTCCAGACAGAATCTAAGCCCTGGATTTCTCAGCCACTGACCAGTATACGAGGAAGCTGACTTACCTGTTCATCCTGGCAGCTCCTAGGAAGGCAGGGCCCAAGAGCCAGGTGTCTTCCAGTCGGGTCACAGGGCCCTTGCCAAGCAAGCATTCTCTCCCCAGGCCCACGGAGACGGCCTCGCCAAGGAGCCACACTGGCTTCTTCCCTGAGCCTGGAGCAGGGTGTCCTGGTAACCAAGGCTGCCCCAGGGCCAGACAGACCTGAGTTTTTCTTTTCCTGCTATGCCCTCCCAGAACCTACCCCCTCCACTGCCACACAAGAAGGAGAGAAGAGAGCTGTCACGATGTGAACTACAAACAAGCCGGTCAGGCCATCCATCTCCGCTTTGGCCGCAGGGTGGCGCTGGGCCACCATAGCAGCAAGTCTCATTTTCCTTCAGTGGCCCAGCCTGAGGCACAGCTGACAGCTCTCCCTGCCTAACTGCGCCTGCCCGCTTTCCCTCTTCAGTTGCTGACAAATATTTAACTAGTGGTTCTCATGCTTTAAAAACAAACAAAATATTTAACTACCATCTCTCTCTTTAAAAACAAAAAGCCATGATTTTGTATCGTCACCTGATTTCTGTGGAGTAAACAGTAGGTACCCCCATGGCTGATTTCAAGCCACCAACATGGTATCTTGAACATGGAGTTGGGAAGAGAAGGTCAGGCTCACATTGCTAGGTTGTATTTCCACCATCCAGACACAACAGACTGTCAGCCTCAAAAATAGATAATGGTCAAATTTAGTAAAGTAATTCAGAAAGGACAAGTTCTTTATTAACCTTACTTTTAATATAATAGTAAATTTACAAATTTAGTTTTTAATAATGGCTATTGTTTAACCAACTCAATGGACCTGAATTTGAGCAAACTCCAGGCGACTGGAGAACAGAGGTGCCTGGCGTGCTGCAGTCCATAGGGGCTGCAAAGAGTCAGACACGAGGACTCTCTAGGCAGACTGCCACTGAGGTACCACTGTTGTGATCATATATTCAGCTATGCCTGCTCTCCTTTTTTCCTCATCTGCATAGTACTGATACATGGAGGCTCAGAAGTTGAGAGGTTTACCTAGAGGAACAGAAACAGAAAAAAGAGGGCAAGGCTTCAATGCAGGAGCAGGGCCACAGCCCTGGAGAGGCAACAGGGAAGAGTGAGGTGGAGACACTCTTTGCCTCTCTGGTCCTCTGTTCTCATCCATCAGCTCAAGAAAAGCAGACTTAGCAGACTGGGACAGATGTCTTTTATTGGTCTGATCGGCGTGACCAGCAGTAGGCCCCGAAAGAACTCCCCTATCTGTCCTGGCTCCCATCTTCCCTTCCCTGGAGTTTGTGATTCAACCACAGGGGAGAAGTGGTGGCAGGCAGAGCCAGGATAAAACATATAAGGATGAGATTTGAAAGGGGTCCAGGCCGTGCATAAAACATAAGGTTACTAGACCATCCAGATAAAATGTCCCTCAGGCAGAGCAGTTTCCCTACACAGGCTCCTCGCCAGGAATGGCAGGAATCAGAAAGAAGAGTTCCTGAGAGGCTGCCTACTGTGCCCTTCGCGCCATCAGCATCTCCCGGATATTGTCCTCAGCTTCCTTCACACTCCGCTCCAGATAGGATTTTTTCTGCTGCAATATGAGAAGGAAACAAGGGTTAGGATCAGGGTGAATGCGCCAAGCTGACAGATGCTGCTTTTATGGCCAAGGGTTATGGCTTCTCTGTGACTAGTGACTTCCAGGAGCCTGCTGTCTGTTGAGAGCCAGGTGTACACAGCTGCCCCAGAGCATCCCCCCACCCCGACGCCTGGGCACCAGGGAGGGTGTCGCTCGATTCCGGAAGCAGAAGTGCTCTGTGGGAAGCAACAGCACTCTTCCCCAGAAGGAAGCAGACTCTAAAAACAGGCGTTGTGGTACATGAAGTTACACCAGACAGACAAAGGCCAGGAAATTCCAGGACAAAGCTCTGGCCCCATAACAGACTGTCTCTCAAGGTTTTCCACAGCCCAGGCCAGGCGCCTGTAGCTGTCGCTGCAGCAGAGCGGACAGCGCGCCCTCCACTCTCCAGCGCGACGGGAGACAGGCTGCCTCGCGGACTGAGAAGCTGTATCACACGGCTCACCGAGGCAGATGAGTCAGGATGAAATCTGCTTTTCTAATGAAACCACTGCCTGCCAGGAATCCAGGACAATGACACACGGAGTAAAACAGACCTTCTGGAAGTTTACCTCCTACCCCATCTGGGTCTTAAATTAAAAATCTCAACTTAGACAAAGAACTTCACTTTCAGGAGCCACATCTGGACCAGGATTACGAAAGATTAGTCAAAGGAAATGATGTCTGTACGTTATTTGCCCTGTGGTCACCCCAGAAGTATGGTGGCTTCACCACTGGTCCCTGCCCTGAGGACACACTTGTGGCTCCGTTCCCACTTAACAGACATGACATGAAGTCTCCCTTTCTGGGGAATGCTCAAAACAATCCCCTGCCAGGGCGCATGGGATGGAGCCACACTAGAGTCAGAAGTGCAGAGCCCTAGCCCAGTGCCCCTCCCTCACCCCAGCAGCTGGGGGTTTTGACTGCTGAAGTGCTCAGATGACCCGGGGAAGCCAGGCAAGGGCAGCAGTAGAGGGCAGGTAAGCAGCCTGGTCTCAGGCCTTGTTGGGGACTGATCCCCAACCCCTGAAGCAGAAAAATGAAATGAGGGCTTCTACTGCCCAGGGCCTTCACCATGAAACCTCCCTGGTGCCCCTTCTCCATACCCCTGCCTCTATAACTTCTCTCTGTCCAGACATTTATTAAATTATACACTGGAAAGTACAGTTTCCTTTAGGTGCTGTGTGCTGAAGCATCCACAATTTTAAGTATAGTTGATTCAAAGTGCTGTGCCAATTTCCACTGCATGGCAAAATGACTCAGTACACACATATATGTTCTCTTTCATATTCCCTCCGCCATGTCCCTCACAGGGCATGGAACACAGTTCCCTGCTCTACATAGCAGGACCCCACCATTTATCCATCCTATGTGTAACAGTCTGCATCTGCTAATCCCACAAATCTTTATCTTCACAGTTCTTATGTGAACTTCTGGTTCCTGTTTGTCTCCGAACTTCAAATTTCTTGAAGGCCAGGAAGAGCCCTCTTTGCCCATCTCCCATCCCTTCAACTTGCACTCAATTCCTTACAAAAGGACAAGAGCTCCACAAAAACTCCCAGTGACCATGGTGATTCTATGGCCACAAGTGCGTGTTACTGCCAAGAAAATATAGTACACCACTAAACCTGGTACAGCCCTATCACTGTGGTATCAGAGTGGGAACTTAAACTTCCTCTGATAAACAATCGTTAGATTTACTTGTGGTGAGTAAAAAAGGCAAACACTGGTAACTTCTGACACACCACTGAAGAATGCACATGTACCAGGTGTTGCACAGCAGCTAGAGAGTGAGTGCCATGCGCCACCTGGGCACCTTTTGGGTCCCAGCCCAGTAAGGAATCCAAGGAAGAGGTGAGGGGAGCAAGGGGGGTTCTAGCCCTGCAGTTCAGCCAGAGCTCAGGATCCAGGTGTGCTGCATTTCATGTCCACCCACTTGCTGCCCCAGCGAGCAAAACCATCAAACTGGAATATCAGCAAGAGCCTTTCTTCCTACGGCCCCAGCCTCTGGACAATCAAATCCAGGTAACTCTCAGCTTTAAAATTCTTTATTCTGCCACATCTCTTCCTTCCATTTTCCACTTCCAGTTTCATTACTTTTTTGTGATTTTTACTACTGCATATCCTAAAGTTTTCAAGTTTCAAAATAATGTAAAATGAACTTGTCTATCTTCAGTTTAAACAGACTTACTGGACATTAAATAATTTTTTTTTTCATCCCAACAGATTGGGTATCTCTAGCATAGTCTTGCTTTCCAACTTTATTTCAGTTGTCTCATTCTCAAACCTACCTAAGCCCAGAAGACCCTCACAGTCAAACCTGTACCAAAGCACAGGATATGGGTTGAATGGTCTCACGAAAAGACATGATGAAGTCCTGACCCCTGGTATGTGTCAATGCGATCTTATTCGGAAACAGGGTCTTTGCAGATGTAACCAAGTTAAGATGAGGGCACACTAGGACTAAGGGACACACCCAGGGGAAATGTCATGCAGAGAGTGGGGGGATGCATCTCCAAGAGAAGGATGGCCCACAACCACCATCAGCTAGACAGCAGGAAGGAGTGTTCCCTAAACCCTTCACATGGACCGTGGCCCTGCAACACCTTGATTTTGGAATTTTACCTTCCAGAACTGCAAAAAAAAAAAAAAAAAAAAAATCAATTTCTGTTGTTTAAGACTACCCAGTTTCTGGTAACTTGTTATGCAGCCTTATCCCAGAGACAGAGTTTATCCCAAGGTTCTTTTGGACCCATACCTTTCACCCACACCAAATCATAGAGGCTTAGGTAAGGATCCCTAAAAGTGAGAATGCTGGAATTGTACTTACCTCAGAAATAATTATTGTAGAATTGACCCAAATACAAATGAGACCATCAGAGAGAATGGAGAAAATTAAGGAACTAATGATTAAGTTAAACTTTCTCGTCCTTAAATCTCCACAGTTTAAAACCATTAGTCAAACCAGAAACAGTGTGGACCTGGCTCTTCCCCATTCCTGTAAGTTAACTCCATTCTTGCAACTCAAGGCAAAAACTTCAGTGTCATCCTTGAATTTTCTTTCTTTCACACCTGACAGCCAATCAAACAACAAATCCTGCTAGTGCTATCTCAAAATATCTCCAGACTCTAACCTTAATCAAGAGCTTCCTAAGTGGTCTCCTTTCTTCTATCCTTGACCACCCCCTTCAATTTCTTCACAGTGGCAGGAGTCATCTTTCAAAGGCCACTCATCTCTCTCAAGAGGCAAAAGCCTTTCAAAAAGCCATGGATAGTCCTGGTCTAGACTGACTCTCTGACCTC